GTAAAGGGGCAGGCAGCAGTTGGAAGCCGGGTAATGAGACCTGGAGTCTGCTCCCTTCAGCACATCCGCAGACACAACGGTGAAGGTAGAATAGCTTGGGGAATGCAGGGGGTAGTCAGCTGTGAGGGGTTGTTATTATGAATGTGTGTGGGTGCAGGGCCCACAGATCTGGGTGTGAATCCTATCTCAGGTACATGTAACCTCTGAGGCCTTATAGAAGGCCCTCACCCTCCCTGGGCTCCAAAGCTTCCTCTTCAACATAGAGATAGCCACAGTCGCCTGTCAGCATCACCAGCACTCGTCTGTTCATTCCACAGTGATTTACTGAGCTTCTGTAATGCACTTCTGTAAGGTGGTGTACCTGGCTCTGTGGATGTCGAATTCCTGCCTGGAATGGTGGAGAGGAGGGCGAGGGGCCAGGCCAGGCCTGGAACCCCTGACAGGCTGTGGCTCTGGATACTCTGCCCCGGTGCCCTCAGGCCACATGTGAATTCTGTGTTGGTTTTCTCAAGGCTACCATAAAAAAGGAGCTCTGGTGGCCTAGTGGTAAGATGCTGCACTGCAATCCCAAAGGCGCATGGCTCAAATCCACCAGCTGCTCCGTGGGAGAAGGGTGGGCAGTCTCTTGTGTGGTTACTATCTTTGAAAAACCTCTAGAGGGTCAGCTATGGGTCGTTTCCAACTCTTAAGGCACAAAACAACAATGACAGCATAACAGAGTACTGTACATAAGGGGTCTTGAAACAATTTACTCTCAGTTCTGGAGGTCAGAAGTCTGAATTCAGGGTGCCCGCAGCACCATGCTTCCTCAGAAGGCCTTTGGGGAGGGTCCTCTTGTACCTTTTCTAGCTTCTGGTAGCTCCCAGTTACCTCTTGACTTGTGACAGCGGCAATCCAATTTCTGCGTTTGTCTTCACATGGTGACCTTCCCTCTGTGTGCCTCTGTCTCTCTCTCCTTTTTAATAAGAACAGTAGATATTTTAAGAAGGATACCAGCCATTAGTTGAGGGTCCACTCTATTCCAGTGTGGCCTTGTATTAACTGACAACATCTTCAAATACCCTGTTTCCAAAGAGCATCACATTGCAAAGTCTAAGGGTTGTGACTGTGAGTTTTGTTCCAGGTTTAAAGGGTGACTAAGGGGCATAGTGGGAGATTCTACACTCAGACAAACAATAAACAGGAATGTAGAATGACCAGTAACACCAGGGAAGGGGGCTCTGGTGGTAAAGTTTGTAGATATCTGTCCGGCGCCCAAGGCTGTGCCTCTCTGGAGGTTCAAATCCTGCAGGGGTTCCATAGGGGAGATATGAACATTCTCATCCTGTGCAGTTTACAGCCTTGGAAAAACCAATGGAGGGTTAACTGTGCGTTGGTTCCGATTTGATGGCAGTGAGTTTTGAGTTTGAACACTAGGAAAGCATGACCCCCTCAGGATCACCAACATAGGAAGTCGAGTATAGAGAGAAGCATTTGCCCAAGGATGAAACCTTGAAGGCAGGAAGAAGAACGAATGGAAGTGAGAGTCAGCAGGAGAAATGGGGAAAGTGTGGTGATATTGTTGGTATTTTAAGTCAGGGCATTAAAAAAAAGTACATGAATAATGGAATGAAAAACCAATTATTCTTTTTAAACTTTCACTAAAAGAAAGTAAAAATAAAGAAACAAAAGTCAAAGTGTCAGCATCCTTGGCCTCTACCTACAGGTGACATCTCATCCCACCTCCAGTTGTGAGACCCACAGTTGTCTCCAGTGTCACTGTTTGCTGCTGAGAACACAGTCTGGATCTACTGCTGGACCCTCTGCACCACCTACCAGAGGCAGGCCCAGTCGGAGGGAGGCTTGCCCCCCCCAGATCAGCTAGGAGGGCTTCTGCTCCTCAACACTGCCTGTGTGCATGTCCACAGGCTGCAAACAGAGTGGACCCGTGAGCAGTCCCAGGGACAGTCAGGCTCTTGGAAGATTCGGTCTGAGTGGTGCCAGAAAAGCCGCATCGAGGTGCACTGGGGCCTTTGGATTGGTCAGCAGAGGGTTGAGTAGCTCCATTTTTCACCATCCATTCATCCAACCCCACATCTTTACCACCAAGACCACACACTTTGACTCTGCAAGACACTTAAGGTCCATCAGAAATGGGCCCACAGTGGCCTGTGACCAAGCGTTTAGTGTAAGGACTGGAGCCAAGCATGTAGGCGAAGTTGAGGGAAGGCAGAAGTTTCTGAGGCTTTTCCCAGCCTCTTAAGAAAAGAGAGTTAAGTAAGGGCTGGAAACTGGACCAGTTAAGGCCGTTGTTTGTGTTGATGACTCGGCCACTTATGTGTGGTGTTTGAGACATGATGGGTAGGAGTGTGGGCTCTGGCTTGGGGTGCCTGGTTCATATCTTGTCTCTGCCATGAATTCTGTGTGACCTCAGGAAAGTCACTTTACCTCTCTGTGTTTTAACTTCTATTAACTACAAATAGGACGTTGTGAAAATTGAGTAATTGTTAAGTGTTTAAAATATGGCTCGCGACACAGTAAATGCTATAGAAGTCTTTGATAAATGAAATTCTAACAGTCCTTTCAGATAGGAATTATCCCCATTTTGCAGATGAGGATATTATTGAGCACTAGTAAGATTCTGGTAAGAAGCTGTGCTGCCATCCCAAAGGTGCACAGTTCGAATCCACCAGCTGCTCTATGGGAGAAGGATGGGCAGTCTCCTCCCGTGTGATTAACTGCCTCTGAAAACCCACTGGAGGGTCAGCTATGGGTTGGTTCTGACTTGGCGCTGACTCAGTGGTCTACAATATGCATCACAACACATGCCAAATACAGAGCTGGGATTTGAGCTCCAGACTGCCTTACTCTGCGGAACCTGTTCTTTCTGGCCTTGCCATGCCGCCGCAAGGTAGGAGGTGTGGGCTGGAGTCCAGGCCATGACCTGAGTGAGGCAAGAGCGGCAGGCCGTGACGTAGCCCTGGGAGGTGCGCTTTCTGCCCGGGGGTGGAGACCTGGGCCATGACGAAGCTGGAGGGAAGTCCCTCACTGTTAACACCCTAATCCACTAAGCTGTGGCTGTGGGATTCACTGTCAGAGCAGATGACCATTGGAGCAGGAGTTACTGATGGCCCGGAGCCTTTCACCCGTGCTCTGGGCTGACACTTGGCCTGGGCCAGGCTCCAGGTGGGCAGGAGGAGGCAGGTAATTATGGTAGTTTGGGCAGGGCCAAGTAGTGGGAGACGGAGCTAGGGGGATAGCCCAGGCTTGTTACCCAGACCCCTGTACTTAGGATCTTTCTGCCTTAATTTGTGAAGAGACTCTTGGGGGATTCTGATGTAAAAGGTTTGCAAATTGACATTTTCCCGTCCAGTTAGATAAATCCCACCATGTGTGTGTTTAATAGAAACAGTAATGTTTAAGCAAAACAGGCTTTGGACTTTTTGCTCAAAGGACCTGAATTCACTTGGGAATGTCCTTTTAAATTGATTTTGTTGTAGATTAAGAGATGGTCATTTCTCAGTCCTTGATTCTCCAAGTCTAGATTTATAAATGAACAATGCGAATCCTGTTATGAAACCGGGGAAATAATGTCCACCTCAATTTAACCGATAACCAAAGGACAGATGCCTTTCACATCAAAGACATGATCAAAAAGGCTGTGTCACATTCCAAAGCCAAAAAAAATTAACAAGAATGCAAACACAATGAATAATGTACCACTGCCAAGACTTTGTCAACGCGGGAGCTTCGGAAATACTGTCCTTTGAAGTGGCCTTCCGTTTGTCTGGTGCCCCTTCCAGAGCCAAGTTTTGGTGCCATGTCACCTCCTGGGGGAAGTCCGCCCCCATGATGGCATCATTCCGCCACCCACTGTTCCGTGTGGACCACCAGGACCTCGGCTGTTGCACCTCACATGCCAGCGATCACCACTGCTGTCACCTCTAGTTTCTCACTCTGGTTTTTTGGGATTTTTCTCTCTTCTGTGTTTAAATACGGTCCCCCTCGAAACGTAATTGGTTTTGCAATTAAGATTCTCTGAACTGGTTCAAACTCATCAAAAACCACAAAACCCCAAATTTGGAAGCTTTCCCCCAACAACCTTGGCATTGATGCAGAGTTCCACAGTGTTTCCAAAACCGGAGGAAGGAAGGATTCTTTTGGTTTGGTTTCATCACTATCACGTGGCAATTCACCAACGAGAAGTTGACGGCTGGCTGGAGAGTGAATTGCTCTGTGGTAGTCAGGTCCGTTCTGTTCTGTCTCTCCTCTACCTAGAACCTCAGACAACCAGAACACGAAGGGTCAGGCTGTCTCCCTGCTTACCAGGCTTCAGTCCTGTAGGAGGAAAGCCTGCATTCATGAACACAAGGTGACTGAGACAGAACTTCTGGTTCAGCTTCCACTCCTGGCTGAGTAAGTTCCTAGGACAAAGAGATTCTACAGCAGGAGGAGAAGGAGACTTCTCTGATTCTTCTGTTTTCCTCCTTTACGTCATCTTCACTTCTTCAGTCTTTGTCTTAGACTCAAACTCGTGTGAAGCTACTTCCAAAGCCTCCTCTCTACCATTGTTGTTGCTGAGTACCATCGAGTCAGAATCAACCCGTAACTGACCCTCCAGTGGGTTTTCAGAGGCGGTAAATCACATAGAAAGAGATTGCCCATCCTTCTCCAGCAGAGCCACTGGTGGATTCAAACTCTGTGCCTTTGAGATTGCAGCGCAGCTTCTTACCACTAGGCCACGAGAGCACCCTAACATTGGTTACAGGGTTAACGGGTGGTGGGAACCACCACTGGCTTTTCTTGCACAGGTTCAGGAGACGGTTACCTTCCTTCTTACTCCTTTTCAACTTTTATCTTCTGATTCTGCATCAAGGTCTGATTCAGAAGCACCAAAACCATCATCTTCCTAAGAAAACCTATCATTGTGAATGTAAATTCACTTGATACAGAGGCTTCAGGGGCCAGAACAAAGGTTTGCCCAGCTTACTCTCTGGCTGGCCACTGTTAGACAGTAAACCATGACCTGGACAACTGCTCCATCGCTCAAGGTCTCACAAGCATCCACAGGATGGATTTTAAGTATGACGTTCATGGAAGTCCGGAGATAGTGCTCTGTGGTGTGTATCATTTGGACCTTGACCACAAACATCTTTCTAGGGGTTTACACTAGCCTCTACTCCACCGTTAACTCAGGAAGAATTCCTGCCATAAACCCTCCCCAAACAGGGGCAGGCACGTCATGGTGACATCAGCAGAGTCACCACACTGACATTTTGGAAACACTGCCTTAAATAACTCACCTCCTTTTCTGGGCTTCCGTTTCCTCATCTGTTAAAATGAAGGCTTTGGACCACGGTTCCTTTATGTATCAAAATCTGGATTAAGCCTCTGTGTATATCTAATGTTAGCCTCATTTGACAAAGTGCTTGTGGACGCAGGACACTGCCTCTCAGGCTCTGAGGGTTTGAAGCAGGCAGAGTTTGGAGTTCTCTTTCTACATGCAGATTCCAGAGCGACTTAAGCCACTGGGATAATTTGTGGCCAAGTCAGATTCCAGGCCTGGAGTACCCATGGCCAGCCTTTTTAGGACCCACAGGGGGATCTATCTTCAATCACCCCTTCTTTCCACTCTCCCTTCCTCAGGTCTTGGCATCCTCAAATTCGAGGCCTTCCAAGGAAGAGGAGACCCCACTGCTCCCTCAAGCCCACCTCCGTGCAGGATCTCGCAGACACACGCGGCAGACCCTTACTGAGTCAGTCTCCCCAAGCTCAGATGAGGCTACCCCACCTGGCTCACTGGAGGACACCCCCTTGCTGCTGGAGCTGCAGAAGCTGCCCGGATTGGCCAACACTGACTTGAGTGCCCCGAACCCCAACATCCAGGTGAGAGCTTAGAGGTCAGGCTACGACCCAGCCCCCACTCTGTGCTTTGGAGGGCAGGGGTTCCTGTGGGTAGTCAAGAGAATTTGACCTCTAGTCCCTCCTGTAATATAATACCTACCCCTCTTCCACTTTCTAGCTGTGGAGCCTTGGGCAAGATTCTCAGCTTCTCAAGACCTCAGTTTCCTAGGCTGTAGCCAGCGGCCACACAATACCAACCTACAGGGCTGCTGGGATCTCCTGAGGCCTGAGACTATATGACAAGGCCTTGAGGGAAAGTCTGCAGGTGGGATCCTGCCGGGATCCAGCCTCTCACCGCAGGCCCCTGAGGAAGGAGCTGCGTACCTGACATGCTGGGCTGGAGGGGTAGAGACTCCACACCAGAAAGACAGCTAGCTGAGAAAACTGGAGAGGCTGGTGTGCTTCCAGTACCTACAGGCCACTAGCAGCCCTGAAGCCCTAATGATAATGGGGTTGCGTTGTTATGTACCATCCATCTGTGGTTTACAAAACACTTTTCACCAAAAGAGAGAAGATTATGAAAATATCTCCCTTTTTTTGTCATTGCATCGATCCTCTGTGGGGTTTCCGGGGCAGTAAATCAAGCAGGAGGAGATTGTATGTCGTTCTGCTGAAGAGCCACTGGTGGATTTGAACTTTCAGAGGTGGGTTAGCAGCAGAACTCCCCACAGATAAGGCCACCAGAGCTCCCTAAATTGTTACTGAAAAGCAAATGGCTGTTGTGACAATGAACTTGAAAAACACTTATTGTTTTGGACTATTATAAGGTAAGAGATCACTGTAAATTGTATACTATAAAATAAAAATACAACCACCAAAACACTAAAAATGCCTCAAAAATGTCGCTGTCATCGAGATGTCGTAGCTAATCCTGGTCATCGAGATGTTGTAGCTAATCCTCCAGTGGGTTTTTCACAGCTATAAGTTGAAGCTGTAAATAGCCCAGAGGGAAATTTCCCTTCTTTCTCCTGAGAAACTGTCAGAGAGGGGTGACCTTTGAGTTAGAACTGCTCCCGACGGACTGCACCACCAGAGCTGTCGAAAGTTTGTACAGTAATTTTTATTACTTTATAATAGTCCAAAACAGTAAATGCTTTTAATAATAAGTTCACTGTCACAAAAATCATTTGATGTATTCCTTATATATAAATGCAGTGAAAGGGGAGCTCGGTCTGCTATGATGACGAGTTGATGTCCAGCAGTTCTCCTTCGCCTGTGCCCCACCTGCTGATGGCACAAGAATTCCACACCATCTTTTCTGTCCTGTGCACTTTCCCTAAACCCTGGCTACATGTTAAACCAGCTGTCCGGCCCCACCCAGTTAAAGCTGTACCTGGGCTGGGAGCGTGAGTGAGGTGAGGGTTGTGTTTAAAAGCATCTTTGGGTGATCCTAATGCACAGTCAAGTCAAGTTGTGACCTGTGTGCTCTAGAAAGCCAGGAAGACTGGCCAAGAGGAGACAGTGGATTAGAGGCAAGGGTTTACAGCTCTTCACTCTGCTGGCACCCCTCGACTCTCCTCTCCAGAGTCTGGCTCTGAGCTCCCCCTCACTGGCCAGCCTAGCATCTGTCCCCCCTGCAGGTGACCATCGAGGTTGTGGAGGATCCCCAGGCCGAGGTGGAGATGGACCTGTTGACAGAACCTAGCAACCGATGGCCCCAGGGTGCCCCCGGCTGGCTGCCCACCAAGGAGTTCTTCTGGCCTCTCTTCTGGGGCTACCTGGAAGGCGAGGATGCGGAGTCCAAGGCCAGAGCCTCAGAGGAAGAGGAAGAGGAGGAGGAGGAGGAGGATTACCCCACAGAGTACAGTGAGGGCGAGGACCAGGAGGGCACTGATGAGGAAGAAGATGAGGAGGAGGAGCCTGGGTTCAGTGGGGCCGCAGGCAGCTGGGACCAGGGCTGGCTGGCCCCCAGGGACTGGGCTTTCAAGGAGACAGACAGCTATGGTGAGTACCCCGCCTTGGCATCCCTGATTGTTGCTCCTGGGGACCCTGAGTGAAGATGGGGCTGGAGGAGACGGCTGGGGGCTTCCCAGCCAGGACTGCTGGGCACGTGAGGAGCTTCAGCCATTGCAGAATCATTAGCATCAAAATAGTAACAAGACTAATTTAAAAAAAAAAAAATCATCATTGCCATGGAGTCAGCACCGACTCGGAGCTGGCCCTCCAGCGGGTGTTCAGAAGGCTGTGAATCACAGAGAGGAGACGGCCCATCTCTCTCCCAAGGAGCCAATGGTAGCTTCGAACCACCAGGGAGGTAATGCCTTTGGTTTAACAACACAGCTCCGTATGGTCTGTGCCGCAGAGTGTGAGCAATGCCTCCTGTACTATAACTATCTATGTTCCTCTACTATTCGTCAGGTTCAGTAATACCAGTAACATGCAAAATAAGACAGTTTGTTTTAAACACATTTGAACCTCACAACAGCTCTGAGACCCTTGGCAAAGCAGACACTTTTTAACATGATACATCGCAAGATCGCTTACTTGACACCAAATTGCGGACTATCAGTCCCACCACTCATAACGCACCTTCTTTTTAGACTGTGGTTTTCAAGCCTGTCTCTGTTGTTTCCCAGCTGAGTGACCTTGGCCAAGTAACTTACCTTCTCCGTGCTTCAGTTCTTTCCTCTATTAGATGGGGAATGGTCCAACCCCGACTCTGTAGGACTGTGTTGTTGTTACTGTTAAGTGCTGTCAAGTTGGAACTGATTCCCAGAGTGGGGAGGGGACTGGCTGGGAGGGGACTGGCTGGGTGGGTGTTTCTAGGGAGCTTTGTAGATGCTGGGTCCCTAACGTGGTCCCAAATGTGAGCGGCTGGCTTCTTCCTTTCTATTCATAGTACTGAGAAAGTAAGTATTCTCAGCCTTGATTTTGATTGTCATAAGGAACTATACCTCAGAGAGGTAGGCGGATGTGACCACACCGGCAGTGGTCAGGTCCTGTCGGGGCCAGATACTGCTCCTGTTGATGGTTGGTATAGAGCCGGGGGCTGCGACATGTGCTGCATCTGTAGGAGAACCTGGTACATTTGCACAGGTCGTTCACTGCACAAAGGCACCTGGCTGAGGGGCATGGGTGGGAGCTGAAATCCAGCCCCTGCTTTGTTCACCAGGCTGAGCCCCCTTGGCCCGAGAGGGCTGTGTCCTCCCAAGATGGGATGGGATAGTCACCTTTGAACTTCTGTAGATGTCCCCTGCAGGCTGTGCTCACTCTCCCCTGCTCTCTGCCTCAACCCAGACTATGAGTCTCAAGAGGAGTGGAGCCCCTGGTCTCCCTGCAGTGGGAGCTGCGGCAGCGGCAGCCAGCGGAGGACTCGGCCCTGTGGCTACGCCTGTGCTGCCACCGAGTCCCGAGCCTGTGACCTGCCCCCTTGTCCTGGTGAGTTGCGCTCCAGTGTTTGCATGAGGAGTGGCAACTGTGGCAGAGACTCTGAGCCAGGGCTCCTGAGAGCTAGGCATCTGAAGCTTGTGTGAGGGATGGGTTTAGGCGAGGGGGGTGTCAGAAGCTCACCAACTTGGTGGTTCTACCTTATTCGGGGTCCGTCCCAGCTGCTGTCGGTACCAAGGGAAGAATGAGGGTTGGGCTTCCCCACTGGTAGCACAGAGGAGGCTTACAGTGTCACCAACCCAGTGTTTTCTCTTCTCAAAGGTTCTGAGGACGAGGTCACATTGGGCTTCCCCACTGAGGAGTGGCAGCCCCTGGTCCACAATGCTACGGATGAGCTTAGCTCAGGTGAGTTAAGGGGGCTAAATGCTAGCCACACATGTCAGGAGACCCCTGCTATGAAGACAGCTTTACTGGTGGGCAGGAGCCTTACCTTCCAGGAAGGAGGGTCTGGCACTCTGACTCTCTCTTGCCGATTCCCTTGGCTTTCCCAGCCTGATGTTCCTGCTGGGAAGAAGGACTTGGCCAGTGGTAGGAGCCAAAGAGTGTGGAATCCATTCAATAGGGTGGACCCTGTCTCTCAGGCTGGGTAGGCGAGGGACATTCTGACTCCCACTCCTTGGTTACTGTCTTGAAGTCCCTGACCAGACTTGGTCTGGGAACTTCCAGATACTTTGTCTGGAAGTTAACATGTCTTTATGTGGCAGTATTGTCTGATAGAAGCAGGTCCATGTCCTAAAATCCAGGACTGCTTCTTCCAGGCAGCGTGGTACAAGCCAGGCTTTCACCAGGACCCTGTCAGTTGGTTGTCTCTTGGTCTCACCCACATCCTGAGAAGAAGGCCACAGCTTTCGGAAGTCCTGCCTTGCTGTGGGCTTGTGTTCAACCCAGAGCTCAGCTCACTGAGCCCCGGCAGCTCCTGGCACTGCTGGGGCTGAAGTGTCCCAGAAGTTCATGGAGCTCAGAGAGACACACAGAACCCACTAGAACCCCGCACTGAGATGCCCAAATGATCTGAGAGCAAAGAGGAACTGTTCTGTGTAACCACAGTCAGAAGCCGCAATTACCAGAATGGAGAATGGGAAGGAGGGTGGTGGGTGGGGCACCACAGAAGGCAGAGTGACTTGTCCATGGTCATAGGGCCGTGATGTTAAGATATTGCTAGAACAACAACCAAAACAAAGTACAAGTGCAAAGCTTCCTTGAGAGTTGATTAAAATTGATGCCCCAACCTCCCACCCTCAGCTCCTTGCCCAAGATCCCCAAACCTTCCCCACTATTCCACACACAGATGGGGGGGAAGGAGAAGAGAAGTCACTGCTTAGGACGCATTGTGTGTCTCTTAGCGGTGGCAGAATGATCTAGAAAAGGACAATGGTGATGGTTGCACAATATGATGTATCTGATCAGTGTTGCTGAGCTGTGCATATGAGCACTGGTGAACTAGCAAATGTTTTGTGTGTGTATGTATGTATATATATATATAGAGAGAGAGAGAGAGAGAGAGTTGTTGTTGATTGCCATCGAGTCGAGCACGACTCATAGCGACACTATGAACAAAAGGCCTGAAGCCTTTCTATAACTATTGTCATTTATAAAAGTTTCCAGAGTTTCCAGAGGCATGTTGTTTAGGAAGTGGATGCCACTCCCGCTTTCTATCTATCTATCTATCTATCTAGTTGTTATATGCCATCAAATCATGACTCATAGTGACTCTGTGCACAACAGCTCAGAACCCTATCCTGAGCCATTCTCACTGACTCTGACACATCTACCCTCCCTACCCCAGTTACTGTGTCACTCTAACTCCTCTGAGGTCTTCCTCTCCTGCACTGTCCCTTCACCCTCCCAAGCATGATATCCTTCTCCAAGGACTGGTCCCTCCTGGCAAAGTGCCCAAAGTATGTTAAGTCAGAGCTTCAAAATCCTTGCCTCCAAGGACCAACTTGGTTTTGAGGACAGACTTGTCTGTTCTCTTGGCAGTCCATGGTATGTTCAGTACTCTTCTCCAGCACCACAACTCAAAGGCATCAATTCTTCTTCTGTCACCCTTAGTTACTGTCCAGCTCTCTGATGCATAACAAGTAATTGTCAAGACCATGGTCTGGATTAGACACACCCTAGTCTCTAGACTGACAGTGTTGCTCTTTAGTACTCTGGAAAGGTCCCCGACAACAGATTTATGTGCTGTCAAGTCAGAACCAACTCATAGATGACCCTTCAGTGGGTTTTTAAAAGCAGTTAATCACACAGGAGAAGACTGCCCATTCTTCTCCCTCGGAGCAGTTTATAAATTTAAACGGTGTGCCTTTGGGATCTCGGCACAGTTTCTTAAAACTAGACCACCAGAGCTTATACATGCTACAGGTATACGTCTATTCTAATTAAAAAAAAATCATTTTAAAAACCCAACAAACAAACGCACCACCAACCTACAATCAGAACAAAGCTTCAGTGCTGCCCGTTGTCCTTGGGATGAAAACACCCCTGAGCAGCAAGCCTCTGTCACAGCTGTAGCAGCCACGTTTGGGTTCTGGAGTTTGGCATGTTTGCTTCCCACTCATGGTCCTTGCTGGCCCCTCTGCGTGAAAGCCCCTTTCTCCCATTCATTACTGTTGGGTCTTTGATGAGCAGTCCTGTCTTGGAGAAGCCTCTTTTCAGATAACCTCTCCCCATACTGTCTCACTTCTAAGGAACACACACACACCTTCTGAACACCCCATGATTTCAGTTCAGATCCATATTGTCAGCAAAAAATACCCAAGTAACTAAACAAAAAATATGTAACCACTGGCCCAGCCTTGGCCAGCATCCATTCAGAGCCACGCCTCTTGCTCGGGGTTGTGTGGGTGCTGCGAGGTAACCCTCATGTGCCAGCAGTGGTGCTTCTGATGTGGGTCCCTGGCGTCCTGCCCTCAGTTCACACATGTGTGTACACACACACACACACATCCCAGCCTTACCTTTGCGCACCTGGGGTCTGAGTCTCTCTCAGCCCCCACCCCTGACACTGCTCCGGAGTCAGCCCCTTTCTCCACCTCCCCAAGGATCTCACCAGCACCGCTGTGCTCTCTGCAGATGTGGACAGCTGTGAGAAGTGGCTGAACTGCAAGAGCGACTTCCTGGCCAAGTACCTGAGCCAGGTGCTGCGGGACCTGCCCAGCTGCCCATGCGCCTACCCGCTGGAGGCCGTGTACAGCGCCGTGAGCCTACAGGACGAGCTCCAGGGCCGCAGCTTTCGGTGGCGGGATGCCAGCGGGCCGCGGGAGCGCCTGGACGTCTACCAGCCCATGGCGCGCTTCTGCCTGCGCTCGCTGCTGTCCGGCGAGAGCAGCACCCTGGCGGCGCAGCACTGCTGCTACGACCAGGGCAGCCGGCTGCTGACCCGCGGCAAGGGCGCCGGCACGCCGGACCTGGTGAGCACCGACTTCTCCCCGGAGCTGCACTTCAAGGTGGACACGCTGCCCTGGATCCTGTGCAAGGGGGACTGGAGCCGCTACCACACCGTGCGGCCCCCCAACAACGGCCGCGCCTGCGCCGACAACCCGCCAGAGGAGGAGTACCTGGCCCAGCTGCAGGAGGCCAAGGAGTATTAGGAAGAGCGGACCGCGGGGAACCCCGTGGGGAACCCCGTGAGGAGCCTGCCTTGTAGGCCGTCGCCTGGAGACTGGAGACTGGGCACGCTCAGGTTCCAAACTTCGGAGGTTTGTCTGCTGCTCCGGGCTTGGAACCAGTGTGTGCTCTTCAACCCCCTGCCAAGCACACGTGCCTTTCCAGCCCAGATACAGTCATATACAGAATCCGAAGCTGCAGCGTAACAAGATCCCAAGGTGAATGAATCCTGACAGATTCCCAGGTGGGTCTGATACATCCGTAAGAAATTCTGCTGCATTTTGCCCACGGCCCATGAACCCAAGAAAGCGCCTTAGGAGCTGGGGAGAAGGCTGAAGAGTGTTCAAGCCTGAGCACCTTAGAACTGAAACCAAACCACTGACACCGAGTCAACTCATAGAGACCTCTCAGCAGTTTTCTGAGCTCTACCCTTGTACAAGCGGCAAGGGCCCATCTTTCTTCCGAAGATCAGCTGCTGGATTTGAACCACTGAACTTTCAGTTAGCGTCCCAATGCTTTGTACTCTAGGCCTCCAGAGCTCCTTGAGGTCACTGGAGGTGCGGTGGAAATACGTGGGCCTCTCTCTCCCACACAGCCTGGCTGCTGGACCCCCTCAGAGTTTCCATAGCAGCCCCCTCCGTGGCCAGCTGAGGAAGGGAGACAGTAAAAGAGCCAGCCCTTTCATCTCACCCACAGCACACACCAGCCCTTCTTTCTGGGGTGCTGTGCCTCCCTGGCCTTCCTGCCTTGCTCCTGGAGCCTGCTCAGGCTAGAAGGTCAGTGGTGCTGTGAGCCAGGCAGGGAAGTTAGGAGGCTTAGCTCTGAGCTGCCTTTTTATTTTTTTTTTTAGCTGCCTTTCGAGTGGACACAATTTGAGGCTGGGCTGAAGGCCATCAGTGGGACCCAAGGAGACAGACAGATGAGTCAGTGCAGCTGGGGTGAGGTAGACTCCAAGAAGGGATCCCTAATTCTGGCCCTTTCTCTTGTCTATCCCTCTATTATGCCCAGGATGTCAGAAAGGGGCAGGGGACTGTCCCCCAAACGGGGTGGCATCCTGTCCCAGCAGCCAGCTCAGGGTGGTCTCATGCCTGTAGGGTACTGATAAACTGGTTCTTTGTGGGGGGCAGGTTGGAAAGAGGAGGTTGTAAGTGAACCTTGATTGTTAGCATTTGGCCATTCCCCTGGAAACCCTTCTCACAACAGCCCAGTTCAAGTTTCCAACACAGTGGCACTGGGCACACTGAACTCTGGGTTGGCAAGAGGTGGCTGTAGTCATCCCTGCCAGCATGTCCTGTGTCCCCCCACTCTGTTCCCCAAACCATACTTCCTTTCCTCCTGTGGGCTTGAAATGTTGAGGTCCCAACTGTCCCTGTTCACAGAAGCCTCCAGAAGGCAGGGCATGTCATCTCAGCCCTTAGGTAGCTGTCCTGAAAGCGCTCTGGGATCCTTGCAATAAAGCACTTTATTTTAAAATTCTGTCTGTTGAAGTTGTAGACATTGCAGCTGGGGCATGGGATATTGGGTGCCTTTACTTAGAGCCCAAGTAAAACTCACGTGGTGTGTGTTTGTAACAACCTAATGCATTCTCTTGTTGTAGTTAGGTGCTGTCAAGTCTTTGCTGTATGCCCCATAATGACCCTGTGAACAGACCTGGACCCTGTCCTGTCCTGTCCTGTGCCTTCCTCACTATTCCAACATACTCGAGCCCATTGCTGCAGACACCATCAATCCATTTAGTTGAGGGTCTTTCTCTCTCTCACTGATCTTTCCAAGCGTCATGTCCCTTTCTAAGGAATAGTGTCTCCTAGCAACATACCCAAAGTATGTGAGATGAAGCTTCAAGCATCCTTGCCTCCAAGGAGCTCTCCGGTTGTTAGATGCCAACAAGTCCATTCAAACTCCTGGAGAGCCTGTGTGTACAGGGTAGAACCGTGTCCCATACAATCACAGTCTGAAACCTAACCCATAGTTAGATCCTTTCCTTTTCCTGAACCAGCTGGGCAGGCAGAGATTCTGAGATTCATGGCTTTAGAGGTCTAACCTCCAGCTCTATTCACACTTCT